GGAGCAGCTGGTCACCCCTGCCCACGTGCGGGCCCAGTACGTGGCCCTGCTGCAGCGCAGCCACGGCGCCCGGTCGCGAGGGAAGAGGTTCAGCCAGAACTTCCGAGGTGAGGCCCTCCCTGCACCCTGGCCGGTTGTGGGTAGGGGATGGAGGTGGGAGGGAGACTGGATGTACCCATCTGGGGGTCCAGGGACCTGCTCCCGGGCCAGGCTGGTGCCGGGGAGAGGAGGAGGCCCAGCACGGAAACCTCGGCTCATGTTGCCAACCTGGGGTCTCGGGTGTTGGGGTGCCTGGTACCTCCGCTGTACGTGACCCCATTTACGTCTGGGCTCAGGCGTCTGAGAAAGTTGTTCACAGCCCCCTGGTCCTCTTCTGCTTTTGGGGACATTTCACGGAAGAGGAAAATGAGATTAAACTCCAAGCTCTCGCTCTGCCCCGAGGAAGAGCCAGCTGGTACCAGATCCCACTCCCCACCCCTCCTCCCCCTCCCTGGTGTCCCCTCCTCTGCCTGGGAAGGCTGCCTGTCCATCTACACCCGCTCCGGGGCCCGAAGCTGCCCCTGCCCCCTGAGGGCGGGGCGGCGAGTAAATAAGCCCCAATGCAAACGATTGTCCGAAACCAATAAAAAATATTTTACAATGTTTTTTATTGATTGTTAGAGAGAGAGATAGAAACATCAACGAGAGAGAAACTTCATCCATCGGCTGCCTCCTGCACGCCCCACCCTGGGACAGAGCCCGCAACCCAGGACTGTGCCCTGACCGGGAGTCGAACCCTGACCTCCTGGATCATGGGTCAGTGGGCAACCACCGAGCCACACCAGCAGGGCCGGGAGTTTTTGAAGGTGGAGGTGCTCTCTTTCGCACCTGGCCCCCCATTTCCCAGGCCCCAGGTTCTCCCTGTGCGTTTCTGGGGAAACCCAGGCCCAGCCCTGCCCCCCTCAGAGCTGCCCCCTTGGCTGGAGAGGCCACACTGATCCTGCTGTTGTCCCCAGAGGTGGCCGGCAGGTTCCTGGTGTCCGAGGCCTCCACGCACCTGCTGGTGCTCAGCATGGAGCGGCGGCTGCCCCCCAACAGCGAGCTGGTGCAGGCTGTGCTGCGCCTCTTCCAGGAGCCGGTCCCCGAGGCCGCGCTCCGCAGGCACGAGAGGCTGTCCCCTCGCAGCGACCTGGCCCGGGTCACCATCGAGTGGCTGCACGTCCGTGCTGATGGCTCCAACCGCACCTCCCTCATTGACTCCAGGTGGGGAGGTTGCCCGGGGGTGCTGGGGGGAGAGGGTAGAGGAAAAGGGGAGGACAGGAGGGGGCGAGCAGGGGGTCTATCTCGGGGAGAGGGATGGGAGGCAGTGGGAGGGGCTTCCCGGGCCCCACCACTCAGCGCCCGGTCCCGCCTGTGTCGCAGGCTGGTGTCCATCCACGAGAGCGGCTGGAAGGCCTTCGACGTGACCGAGGCCGTGAACTTCTGGCAGCAGCTGAGCCGGCCCCAGGAGCCGCTGCTGCTGCAGGTGTCAGTGCAGCGGGAGCACCTGGGCCCGCTGGCCTCCAGCGCCCACAGGCTGGTCCGCTTTGCCTCCCAGGGGCCTTGGGACGGCGCGCAGGGCGAGCCCCAGCTGGAGCTGCACACCCTGGACCTCGGGGACTTCGGGTGAGCGCTGTGGGCCAAAGGGTGACCCTGATCAATAAGACAAATAGAGAATTACCCTGCAATTGAAAGGGGCGTCTTTTCTCAGGGTGCTGTGGGAATGGAGGAGTGTATACAATTTCTCCTTTGAGTCTTAGGAGTAATATCACGTGATTATTTATATTTTGGTTATTTCCTGTTATCTATCCTTGTCACATACATCCAGCTTTTTAAAAAATATATATTTTATTGATTTTTTACAGAGAGGAAGGGAGAGGGATAGAGAGTTAGAAACATCAGTGAGAGAGAAACATCGATCAGCTGCCTCCTGCACACCCCCTACTGGGGATGTGCCCACAGCCAAGGTTCATGCCCTTGACCGGAATCGAACCTGGGACCCTTCAGTCTGCAGGTTCTATCCACTGAGCCAAACCGGTCAGGGCGATATCCAGCTTTTTTAGCATCACGAGAGATGCATCGCACGTCTCCCTCCCAGATGCCCCACTGGGCCCCGCCCTGGGTCCCCTGACCTCAGTCCTCCCAACTGACCTCTGACCCCGCCTCTCCTTGCCCCCCACAGAGCTCAGGGCAACTGTGACCCCGAGGCCCCAGTGACCGAGGGGACCCGCTGCTGCCGCCAGGAGATGTACATTGACCTGCAGGGGATGAAGTGGGCCGAGCACTGGGTGCTGGAGCCCCCGGGCTTCCTGGCCTATGAGTGCGTGGGCACCTGCCAGCAGCCCCCGCAGGCCCTGACCTTCAAGTGGCCGTTCCTGGGGCCGAGGCAGTGCATCGCCTCGGAGACCACCTCGCTGCCCATGATCGTCGGCATCAAGGAGGGCGGCAGGCTCCGCGCCCAGGTGGTCAGCCTGCCCGACATGCGGGTGCAGAAGTGCAGCTGCGCCTCGGACGGGGCGCTCGTGCCAAGGCGGCTGGAGCCGTAAGGCGCTGGGCACGGCCACCGTGGGGCTTGACGTGGGCGCTTCAGAAGTGTCCCAGGTACCAGGAGAGACGGGGGTTGCTGATGGGCAGATGCTCTGTGCTCTCTGAATTCGCTTCCTCTGACCATTCAGCTCACCTCCTAATATTCGCTCCCCAGGAACAAGACTCCCTGGTCACCGGGCAGCCTGTCCAGGCTTCTCTCTCCTTCGTATTATCCGCTGCACTATATCCTAAGCACTTACCTGTGTAGGTTCTGTAATCTATGAGCGGAAACGCCCATTTGCCATTGTTGCCCTCTCCCAGGAGCTGGGCTGAGCTCTGGTATGGGCTAGAGATCCAGCTGCCACTCCGGGCTTCAAACCGAGGCTCAAGTATGGGTTGTGCGTTCTCGTCTCAGATACGGAGGGCATTTTGCAAGAAAGAAAGAAAACGCATTTTATTCTGTGTTTTTATATTTTACCAAGAAGCCTGCCCGTTGTTGAGGAAACAGAACGTTCTAGAGGGACAAGGTTAACGTGATGAGAAAACGAAGGGACGAGCTATAAGACATGGTCAAGGTCTCCGTTCAGAAGGACAGGAAGCTAGGACTGACATGCATTCAGATTCCAGGTGCCTGTCCGCTTAGAATGGAAGCCGAAATCTTGTCATTGTTGTCGACGTGTTTACTCTTTTCAATTCGACTTGCGATCAAATAAGAAAATCTGGTCATCAGTACTACAGTAATGTGGTCACTCCTGTAACTGTTGGGGCAGGTACGGGGAGCAAGTGTTGAAATTGTTGGCTATCACACTTTAGAACAGTGGTTCTCAACCTTCTGGCCCTTTAAATACAGTTCCTCATGTGGTGACCC